GAGCAAATCAGGGTGTGGCAACGTCATCAGCAATCCCTTTCGGGTAGACCCAAGGTGGCAACTTGCTTGACAACTTGCAATAACATAAATCCAAACATTAAAAAAAGGACCATCGTATTCGTTTCGTACCTTTCATAGTTACCCCGTATTCTCGCTCATAATCGACAATCTTGTGAGTGAAGATTCGGAGGTGGGGCATTGATTAGATGCCTACTAAGGTATCCCTTTGTCTCTCACTCTTCTTGTTCTCCAAATATTTCCTTTACCTTCTCCTGCCTCTCTATCATCATCAACGTCAACAAAATAATAAATAAATAATCTCTATCATCACCCATCTTCTATAAAGACCTCACCAGATCAAAACATGGCCACCAAGAATCGAATAAATTGCTTCTCATAAAATCATTTCATCAATATTCTCACATTCGTTTGACGACAAAATCGTTACACAGGAAAATTTAAATCCCTAACCAAGGCTTGATTTGTTTATACATCTAATAACATGCATGTCTAATGGCATTGGAATAGAAATAGAGTTAACTGTTGACTAAAATGAAATAAAAGAAAATTATAAGAAATAGAATAAAATTGTAATTTAATTGTAATGTATTTAGTCTCATTATTATCAAATTATAGATTATCATGTCAGTAATAATTATTAATTTTTATAATATTTAATTTAAAATTATACAATCATATTATATATTTAATTTATTAGTTGACAATGGTGTATTTTTTTTATCTTTTATAATTATATATTTTACTGTCATTATAAGCTAATGTCAATAACATAAAATCAGAAATTAAAACAAAAGTATTATGAAGTATAATAAAACGATGGAAACTTGTAAATATAAAGACGAAATTATTTGCTCAATTCAATTTAATGCATATGACAGAAGTGATAAAAATTATTCTATATCATTATTTGATTAAAATAACTGAAAATTTATAACTTGTATTAAATTAATTGAAAGTTTATAACTTTTAATAAATTAAATATCACTTTAGATATTTTTTATAAATTAAACAAAAAATATTATTTTCATTGAATTTTTATTCATTAAATATTTCTACTGATTAATGTATTACTAATAAAAATAAATAATATAGAAATTAATGAATAAAGTATAAAATTATGTTAACACTATGATATTACGTGAAGAACCTAGATAGAGTGAAAAGATTGGTAAGTATTGGAAGTTGGAACATTGTTTTTGTTGTTAAATAGGTCACTGCATCGGCACCAAGAAGCTTGGAATTTGTCATGGTTGCCTAAATTCATTGAAAGTTGCGGTGGTGAAATCCGAGTCACACCTTTGCCCTCTTTGTCCTCTCTAGAATAATTGTGCTTGCCACCTCTACTTTTTATATTCCAATTTTGGTTCAAGTGGCACCCTCATATTTCCCTTTTACCCCTTTCTAAGTCCTAATAATATATCAGCTCATAATTGTTTAATAAAAAATGGAAAAAAATATATATTTTAAATTAATTATTATTTTTAAATCTATTTCAAGCAATATTAACAATAAAATATTTCACACACCATCGTGTGGTGTGTAAAATAAAATAAATATGTTTTTTAATAAATGAAATAAATATTTTCTTTACTTTTAAAAAGTATGAGATCTGTAAATAATATTTAAAATAAAAAATGGTTGCACATAAATTGAGTAAATTAAACATTGAAAATGCTTGTAGATTGAATAATTAGTTGCACAATAGTAAGAAAAAGGAATCAAATAATTAATTACACTTGAATAAACAGCAGTCTTATAATTTAGTTGGATGAAGATTGAAAATAAAAGATAAACAAGAAAATTGATTTAAATAAATAATATTTTTTTAAAGGATAAAATATGAGTTCTGTTATTTTAATATTAAAAATAATGTTATGTTTGCAATTTTATATATAATTTATCTTTCACTGATGTTATGTGTTTATGAGAGAGGAATTAAATTATAACTATGTAAACTACACTAATAAATAAATATATTGTTAAATATTTTTTAATATAAATTTTTATTTTAAAATTAACCATTGGATATATATATATATATATATATAATTTATAAAATTATAAATTATAACAAAATTATATGATACTTTTGTGATATACCTTTAAGGTAATATGTAGTTTTAAAATATATTAAAGTAAAAAAATTATTATATTTTCATAGTTATTTATTTAATGTTTATAAAATTTGACAATATATAAAATTATAAAAATAAAAAATAATTTTTTTAGTAAAACTTATAATTCTATTTTATTTCAAATGTATTTAAATCCATTACAACTGATCAATGTTAAATATTTTAGAATAATTTACATAACATTATAGTTTAAATCTCATAAATACTGCTGTAGTAAATCAAGTAACATATTAGTTTGCATTTTTCAACTCAAAAAGATTTTATTTCAACCTTAAAACCTTCTGAAAGATATTTTGAATCTAAATTTTATGAAAATTAAAAAAATTTCTTTGAATAAATAGATATATCTAAATTTCTATCATCTCAAATACATGTAAAACTATAATCATAATTACTTTTTTAAAATTGATTTTTAGCTAAATTGACATTTTAGTATTTTAATTTTATTTTTGTTTCATTTCAGTCTTTAGTTTATTTTTTTATTAAAATTTTTTAACTTTATTTTATTTTGTCTCAGTTTATTTTTTATTTAATTTAAATGTTAATAAAATAATATATTGTTAACTGTATTCAGTTTCGTAATTATTATTTATCTTTTATTTTAATTACTTGTCATAATCACAGTAATTTTTGATATATTTAATATTTCAATTTATTATAAGATTTAAATTAATGAGATACTCACTTTTATTGATAAAATTAGATTTATTTATTTATTTAATATATATACCGTAATAATTGAATCCTTTAATATTATATAGTTTAAATAAAATTGGAAGAAGGATAGAAGATAAGTTATGGAATAGAAGAGGAAAAGATGATGTGAATTGTGACTGAGGTCCAAGACGCATAAACAGAAACAATAGTTAATGAGTGGAGCAGGTTACAGAGGAGAGGCACAGAGAGTGGGTAAAATCAAAGGTGAGAAAATCAGAGACGTTAAGCAATTAGTGGAAGCTGAGGTATACGTGGGTACCACAATGTAAAGTGGGGGAAGGTTCTGTGGGGTCCATGGCAAATGCGGCGAGACGCAGCATCGCAGAAATAAAAGAAAAGCCATTTTATGCACTTGCGTTGCGTTCTCTTCTTCCTTTCTACTCAACTCAACTTAAATTCCCTTTTATTTTACTTTCTTATATCCCCATTTTTTATTGGATTATTATCCCAAAATATTTGCAATGCTTAAAGTGGCTCCCACTCGCTTCCCCGGAGGAGAAACCAAAGCCACCCGGAGTAGAAGATATCGACTCAAACCCTCTCCCAACTCCCAATATATGTTACAAACTAGATATTTACATCTTTTTATCAAAACTATTTCTAGAAAATAAATTTTATACAAATTAAAAACTTATTTTAGTTAATAATATTTTTATAATAAATATGTCGTTCAATACCGCCAGTTTGACAGCTAGACACCTAAAACTCGATGCTGACCTGAGCCGTATACTTTGGCTTTGCCATTGGTGGAGGGATACGCACCTACGCAAGAGCAAATCTGCACCTTTTATTGTAGGCCGTAAAATATTAATTATCAAATAGGAGTGCGTAATTTTAAGGATATATAATAAGAATTGATAAATCGGAGTATTTAACATTTTACGGGCATTATTAAATAAATTTAAAATTAAAATATCATATTAGAAATTACGGTAATATTCTTTTTTCATAATTTTCTAATCATCGATTCTTCATTAAATCTAAAAAAAATACTTGTTAATAAGATTTATAAAAATTTATATATGTTAAAATTTTATAAAAAAAAATATTCAGTAGTATTATTAGGACAGTGATAAAATAATTAAAAATAAAAATATACTTATTTTAATACATTTTAACATAATATTTAATAAAAATATTATTTACTAATTGTATAATCAGTGTTCTTAGAGAACTGATTTTAAAAAAACCCAAACTTTACTTAAAAATTATAAGATATAATATATTTTAATAATATTAGAAATTTATTTCGATTTAATTTTATTTGTTTTATTTATTTATTTATTTTTACTTTTACTATTTCGTATATAAACTTTTGATAAGAAAATAAAAATATTTTTGAAACTAAATAAACCTTAAATACTATAACTTTTTTAAAAATTATTAATTTTTGTTATATTTAAATTTTATTTTTTTTACCTTGATTCCTTCTTATTTGCACACACCTCTTTGCATTCTCCAAAAGTCGCCTGTGTTACTGCTTCCCTTTCTGTCTCTGTCTTCTTACTGTTATTACTCATTTACCGGCAGAAACAATCCAACTAGTTACGAGGCTGTCTTCACAAACCACCATGCACACCATCCTCGTCTAGCATATAAATTTCAACCAAAGTAAACTTGGGTTTTATTACAGTACCTATATTCACTGTTCAAAAGGCGTGTTGGGATTTGTAGTATGAGATTGACATCTTACCACAAAGGTTGTTCCAAGGAGCCGCTGAATTTCCCCTGACGTCAAATTCCAACATTCTCAATTTTTAATCATCGCAGCCCACACCCTATAGGTGTCTTATAGGTCAAGGTCTTATTACCAATTCTTGATTTAATTTTAATGTAACTTAAAGTTGGTTTATTTACCATACCAAAATTATAAACTAACACCGGATCGTTTTAATTTCAACGCCAAATGCTTTTTCATCCAATACTTTTAAAATAAAAGAAAGCCTAATTAAAACTATCGCAATTTCTTTACAATTGCTGCATTGAACGCTTATGTGTGTTACGGCGTAGCTTGTAACGAGAAAATTCTTGGTTTTAAGTTCTGACCCACAAACTTAAACAACTGAATATTCATCCAACTCAAAGGTTCACGAATGTTGATTTTAGCGAAATTGAAAACAACAATGAGAAAAACAAAAGAAATATCTAGTCTTTATTTTTATTTAATATTCATGTCCCACTGTCAGAGGACTGCTTACATATTTCATGTTTGGCACAAAAAAAAAAAAAAAGACAAAACTTAAAAAGAAAAAGAAAAACAAAGGAGAAGGGATCACCGACGAACCCTCATCTTTCTCAGTAGAGAAATCCTGTGCCAGTGTCTCACAAAAACTCGCCGAATTTCAAATCCGGGAAGAACCCTCTTCTCCAAAATATATAAGTAAGCAATTAAATAGAGGAATATTACACCATGAAAACAAACTACACGCGCGGGACCCGTTAATTAACCATGAGACACCGCGTACACAGAGAGAGTCCTCAAATGAAAAGGTTGAGAACTTTCCGGTCTCCGCCGTGACCCCACTGATCTCCAATCCCACTTTCAAGGCACGCCGTCGTCGTAACCGATTCCTCCGAGGTCATCGACGGTGAGCCCGACCGACGCTTCTCCACCTTTTGCAGGAAAATCGGAGTCAAACGAAGATCGAGATTCGGCCCCGCCTGAAGCTTCACGAGCTCCTCCGATCGCTTCCTTTTCCCGCTGGAAGAGACCTTGTTATGAGATCGCGAACTTGTGAACCGGAAATTTGGGTTCGGATTGGGCTCTCGGATCCTCCAAGTGTCGGTGCAGGCGACTTCGGCCTCCGATGCCTCGTCGGCGGCGGAGGCAGGAGCCTCGAGGCCCATAAGCTCCGGTATGGGCCTGAGGGTGCCGCCTCGCAGCACAGTCTCGACCGCCGCCTGGCACACGTGCCAGTTTCCGGTCCAGAGAAGGCCCACGGCACCGTTGACCGGGTTGACCGTTCTTCCGCACGCTTCAAACAGCAGGGACTGAAACAGAGCTGCATAGAGCGCACGCGAAGAAGGAAACATTACTTCACAAGAATATTCCAGATAGCGGGAGAGAAAATGAATTTATTTTTACAGAAAAGTTTGAATTACCAGGTCGTTGGTTTTGGGGAACGTTGGAAATGAAAGACATAAGACCAGCACGACCAAAGAATTTGGCTACGAAGACAGTGGCGTGGCCTTGGGCTTCAGCGGTTTCCATCCACTGCAAGCAAGGGCGCAAAATACATGACTCACTGCAACCCTTTCGAAGAACGCGGCAACCGTTGCAACTCATGCCTCTGTGCTTGTCTTGTGTTTTACTAATTAATAACAGCCTCACATGAACACAAATAAAATAGTGAGTAGCAGAAGCAGGGAATCTTTTTGGGTGTGGCTAACTAAACAGAGCGCTGAGAGAAGGTGAGAGAGGATGAGAGAATGGGAATGCAGGTGCAGGTGGGATATAAATAAGGGCAATGGAGGGAGAAGTGGGGTTGGTAGTTTAGTTAACTATGGTTGAGTTAAGGTTAGTGGGGAAAGTGGGAGATATATGTGAGGAAGCGAGAGTGTGTTTAATTCCGCGGGTGAGATTCCAATGTCTTTGGCGTGAGCGGCTCCGTGTTTCCGCGCATGCATGTTTCCTCCGCCGTTCGATTCTCTAATATATGGATGTTGATGCCTCCTTTTCTTTTTCCACCTTTCCCTACTCTTTATCTTATCATCGCTTTATAAAGTAACAAATTAGATATTTTATTATTATTTTAATTTCAACTATACAGTATTATTATTTTTTAAATGTTTAAAGATGAACAATTTCTTCCGCTTTTACTTTACAGATATGTTATATCAGAGACAAGTTTTTCTTCCATTTTCTATATTTGATAATTTGATTTTATTATATCAATTCTTTAACTTATTAAATATATTGTATAAAATTAAAAAAATTCGTTCATAATTTTTACTTTTACATTCCAAACAAAACTTACTGTGTTCTTACCTCTCTGTGATCTCTTTGTATATTTCTATGATAAATAAATACTAAGGAAATTCTTTGAAACACTTGTTAGAGTTTTATTAAATTTATTAAATAAAAATATTTTTTCAATAATATTATATTTTATTATTATTTTATTGTTTTTGATCTTTTAACCCCTGAAATAACGTGAGAGCACCAAGTGAGGCTTGTAAGACGGTGGGTATTAACATGTGGCGTGGTCGTGTACATGTCTAAGTTTCAAAAATAATAATAAATTTCAGCACGAGGAGGAAGGCTGTAAGGTCCAAACAAAATGAAATCCAAAAATTAGTTTTGATCTTAAATAAACATTTTTTAAAATTATGAAATTAGGAAATATTTTTTAATTTTAAACTATTAAACATGCTTATTTAATCTGTATTTAATATTATTTATAAAAAAAATAAATATCCAAAAAAATTAATATACATTTATTATATTAAAATATAAAAATATTTAATAAGTTTTATTCCTAATTAGTTTTCTTAATTTATAAAAGTTAAAAATAAATTTCTTATATTTTCAATGGTTTTCATGTTTTTATTTAATTATCAATCTTTATATATAATTTATGATTACAAATTCTTAAACTAGAATGTTTTTAAGAACTTTCTTGAACAATAATGCTTTTTTTTTTAATTTTTAAAAGAAGAGTTATTTTAAGACTTTGTTTTATTTCATATTATGTTATATATTTTTATATTAAATAATTATTTTAATTTTTTAGTTTATATAATTTATTTTTTAATTTAAAATTTATCACATCATTTTATTTTATTTATTCTTAATAATTATAACATATAATATCTTTAAAATTTATATGCTTTAAATTATTTATTTAAAATTTTGATTTAAACTAATAATACCCATATAGTACAAGAAAATTATTAGTTAAATAAATTTCAAACTTATCTTAAATGAGAAGAAAAAACTCTAATTGTGAAATTAGAGTATGTTTGATTTTCCTTCTAAAAATAGTTTTATGTTTTTAAAAATAAATTATTGCATAATTTTTTACTACATTTTATTTTTAAAATAGAAAATTGTTTTTAGAAGGAAAAAAAAAACATGCTCTTACTTTTGAATATTTTTAATTCAATTGAAATTTTCTTTTGTAAATGGTAAACTTGTTCTTCAAAAAAATAATAAAAAATCTACGTAAATAAAGATAAATTTTTTAAAGTAAAAGATCACAAGCTGTTTTCAAGTTCAATTAATAGCTACCAAGGGTAATTCCTGTTCGCAATTACTGTTAGTCTAAGAAAATTTACAATCAATAGAGTCTAATACAAAGCCCCTTCCTAAATAGATTGATTTTGTATATGTAAACGTTACGAGACTTTGTACCTCTCATCAATCTTTTGATTTAAATAAATAAATTTATTTGTGATTACTTTAAAAACAAATTAAAAATTGAAAAATTATTTATAATTTTTTAAAATAGTTCTTAAGTTACTTGCTTGATAACATAATTCAAAAAGTATAATATTTAATTTATGGCAACAGTGAGTGTGGACTTGGGCATAGGAACAGAAAATGCAAAAATTGTTGCATAGCAGTTGGGACCATGGAAATGAAAATTGGATTGGACTTGCCCGGTCTAGTCTCTATGATCGATAATTTTAACTATTGCCCTGTCATCTTTGTTAGTTGAAGATAAAAATATTTTAATATATATTACATTATCATATTTAAATATAATAAAAATTTAACTTAATATAACAAATTATTTAATATATACAAGTATATTAAAAAGTTTATATAGTTTGGATAATAAATATATTTATAAAGAAAGCTATAAAGTTTGTTATTAAATATGGTATAAAATTAATTAATATGGATTTAAAATATTGATTTATTATATTAATTTGAATTTAATATATATGTGAAGTTAAAAAAATTATTACTAGCTTGAAAATGGTTGAACCAAATAAACCGTAAATAAATATTTTCGTCGATTCAATGACTAATTCAGTTGAAAAAACATTGGTTGGGATTAAAGCTTTTGGGTTAAAGAATAAGAGAAGAGAGTTAAAACTGTTTGTGAAATACCTTTTTTTGTAAACCTAGAAAGGAGTAATTTTTCAATGAGTAAATTTTTGTTAACTATAAGACAATTGGATAAATGAGAAGATAGTAAGTAGAAAAAAAAATCAGAATTTCTAACTATTTATATTAGTTCACGCACAATCATAGGATTACGTCCAATTTTTTACTTTAGGTTAAGGTTTTTACTATTTTTCACAAATTAAACATAATATATAGAAACTCAAGTATTAATGTATAAGTTTTTCTAAAGTTCAAATAATCTCAAATATTTTTTTTTTATAAATGTCTTTTCAAGAAAAATACATCCTCAAGTCTTTCTTACTTTTTGTATGAATGTGTTTTTGTTATATAACATAAATATAATAAGTTTATGTTAGATTTAACATATATATATATATATATATATATATATATATATATATATAGATATATAGATATATTAAAAATATTTTAATACAACCATATCCTTTGCTATATTTAAAGTGTCTTTTGTTTTATATATTTTATTTTTATTATTATTTTGGTGGAAGTTGTGAAAAATAAGTAGAAAGATATTTTTTTGTTTCTTTTAAATAAGTGTAACTTTGTTTTACTTACTTGGTCAACTTCTTGCAATTGTACTCTATCTATTATTTTTAAACCGTTTTACAAATAATATATTGTACTCAAATATTTTAACAAATTTGTAAAGTACAATGTGAAATTTATCTACAATTAAAATATTTTTCAATCATCAAATCTTATTTAGAATTTCGTAAGTTTTGAATGGACTTATTTTTACTTTAACAAGGTAAATTAAGTATGTGAATGATAAAAAGAAAACATGAAAAGAAATAATTTAATTTCTTCTAGGGGTAAGCATCGATTGAGTTTGATTTTAAGAAAATGTTAATATAAGAGGGGTAAGAATCTACAATTACCATTAACATAAGAAGTTTAATACTATAAAAATTTAATTATATTCCTCAATGATTTTTATCTTAAACTTAATTTATGTTATACCTACATTTTGTCATCATTTATCCAAAATTTCTATTGTTAACTTGAGAGAATAATAGAAAATTGTTTGAAGAGACATTGTAATTGAAATTTCATATATAGGTGAACTTAAGTGACAATGTCACCAAGCACCATTACTTTGTATATAAATGCACACGTTTTTCATATTACAATGTCATGTATTAGTTTTTTATATCTTAAACCTTAATTTAACTTTAAAAAATTTTAAATATACATATATTTAGTTAGTAATGTAAATAAAATTTATCAATTATCATAAAAAGAAAATGATATTTTGCAAAAAAGAATGTTTTAAAAAAAACACTAATATTTTTTAAAAATAATATTTAAACCAAATATGAGATAGAAATAGTTTAAAAAAAGATTTTCTATAAATACTCCTTTAATGTTAGGTCATCCATAAAATTCAGTCTTGAAAACTTGATAAGTATATGTCTAGTCCTTGCATGAAAAATGTGTTGATATATCTTATCTTACCTAAAAATATAATTATAACATTTTTAATAAGATTTGGACTGTATTCGTTTCTTGAATTAATTTTTGAAAATAAATTAGTCTCACAACACTTCAAAGTTTAAGTTAATTGAAAATTTGGTAAAATGAATATAATTGAGGCATTAAGGATCCTTCTTTTATATATACATGAGTTCTCATAGGTTTTAGAGTTGAACCATAAGTTAAGTTAATAAACTCCATGGTAGTTGTGATTGTATGCATTATTATGACAGATGAGACAAGTGTCTCTATCTAAGGTAACTTTGAGTGAGTTTTAAGGGTATAAAATAGTGTTGAATTTATAGGACTAATACTAATTTTGATGGCAATAAAAACATGCTAAAGTAATTCTGTAAATGATGTTAAACTTTGAAGATCAAACACCAATGTCAATGGTGATGGCAATTTTATCAAATTGATTGTGATAAATTATGTTGATTCATCACTTACAAAATCTTGAGCACTTGAAGAAGAAACTCAAAACACCAAATTAGTCTAAATTTAGGTGAAGAAATATAATAAGAAATTTCAATGCAATATGAATTGTGTCACAATTGGGGTCACAATGGAAAGATGATCGCGCAGAGGAAAGGAAATATGTAGAAAAGGGTTGCAATCAGTTAAAAAGAAATTAATGACAGAGAGTTACTATCAAAGTTTATTAAAGAAAATATTAAAAAAATAATTAAAAAATCTTTAAAATTAGATTTGAATTCGTGAATCATTTACGTGTAAAGAATGTATTAGCACCCTACAACGTTTATTAATTAAAATGATTACCTTCTACTTAATTATACAAAAATTATTTTAACTATAAAAATATTTATTTCACTCTAAAAAAATAATTAATTTTTTTTACTA